CTTATTACTGTAAAAAAAAAATTTAATGACTAGAAACATTTTTATGCTTTTAAATGTAAAGTATTACAGAAATATAAATGTGGAGAAATTTAAAATTTCATCATGGAAACTTGTTTAACTTCCCACAACTTCATGATTAACATGGATATCTTCATCCGAAGTTTGGCGTTTATTCAACTTTATGTTGAATAAACAATGTGTTTTTATTAATTTTGGCTCAGTATCAGATAATAACTTTTGCTTTCACGCTCCAGTTTTTTCTTTGGCCTGGTTTTGGAGGCAGAGGAAGGGTGGGCTTAGACTAAATTATTTGCATTTGATCCATAAACTGTTGAAACAGCCTCATGTAGGAATCATTGTCAGGAGGATAACTTGTCAAAGCAATGATTCTCTGTTTTTCATATAAGAAAATGGGCTATGTCACACTTTCATAATTTTCTCTCCCCGATGTCTCATCGATGTGTTATCACGATTGTCTGTGGACTTTTGATTCTCTTAGTGGAGCATGTTGATAACAAATTAAAGAACACATATCCAAATAGTTGTCCAATATTCACAAATTCTTAGACAGTTGACAAGAAATGGATGTCCCAGCAAATTCATCCCAAATTCCAGAGAAGTGACAAAAACCCAGAGCTCCTTCTCTGACTTTAAGGTCCTCAATGAATGCGTTAAATATTAAAGTTAACCTTGGTGCAATAAGAAAAAGACTAAACAAACTTTAGATGTAGCAGAACCAAGGTGCTTTGAAGTTAAAGGTGAAATCTCTTTCCAGTTTGTTCTTAAATGGACAGGATAACTCACTATAAGACTGGTTTATATAATAGTGGAGCGCTTCAAAACACAGCTGGAAGTCTGTGATCGACTGAAAAAGACATGGATCAACGTGCTGCAATGGTCCAGTCAAAGTCTAACTTACAACCTGATTGAAATGCTGTGGTAGGAGCTTAATGGAGCTCGCGGAATGAACTGAAGCAACAATGTGTAAGGAAGTCTGTTTCAACATTTCTCCATATTTATGATGAAGAATAATAATGACCATCTACTGAAACATGAAGATTATTTAGCTCCCTAAATCATCATATTGGACTGTTCTGACTTATGAGCGGTTTGGGATTTTGGTTTTAAAGTTTTGTTGAGACATTTTTGCTCTTTTTAGCAAAAAACACCCAAACAAAAAAAAAAAAACTAAACGAGCTCATTTTCTATCTGCACTTTCAGAGCTCCAGATGCGGCTAAAGGATCCCTTTTCTTTGAAAGCCGCCGACATGACAAAGCGGACTAATAAACCACGGAAACCTCGAGATGAGGAGTCATCAGATGAAGTCAGTGGTAAGTCGAAAGCACTCAGCTTAAAACCAAACCTGCCATTAATGATCAGGTTTGGTTTTAAGTGCTAACAAAATATTAACGTTTTCTGAACAGACAGTAAAGTAGACAGAAATCTGAAATGTTAGTTTTCTTTTTGCTGTTGCTCCACTTTTGAAACTGCTACTACTTTCTATGTTTTTCTGGAGCTAAAACGATTAATTGCATCAGGAGTGATTAATCGGTTATTGAAATAATCATCAACTAATTTAGTAATCGATTAATCAATAACTGGAGTATACAGCCTCAAAAAAACCGGCAGATTTTAGAAAGAACTCACAGCAATAATTGAGCCAAAATTGTACAAAAAAATAATAAATTTAGCATTTAATATGAAAAATGCATTCTTTGTTTGTAACTATGTTTTACCAAGTGGCAAATTTTAGTTCTGTAAATTATTCAATAATCAATAAAAATAATTGATTTACTGAAACAATTGTTAGTTGCAGCCTTAATTTTATCTAACTNTCGTAAATAACCATCTCTTCTAGAAATAAAACAAAGAGCTAAAACCAGGTTTCAGAATGCTGTTTGGAGCCATTTCCCAGTTTTATTTTTGGCACTTGAACCGACTTTTAAACTCTAACTCTAACAAATCGGAAACATGGAGAGTTCCAATATTAATGCTAATTCTGTCAAGATGAGTTGGTGAATTTTGGTGCCTTTATGTCGTAAAGTTGACTCCATCCTGCCTGTTCAGTCTGTTCAACTGGGTCAGTTCAACCTGAGTATGAAGGTTTCAAAAATTAGTGTGCATTTAGTAAGTAAGTGAATAAAACAAACAAAAAAAATCAACAAAAAACTGATGGGTAAAATATTAAAATCAAGGTACAATGTGGCAAATCAAGCATAAAGTATAGCAATTAAAAATAAATACATGTGAAAATCACTGCAAATTACAGAGCATTGTTAGAGTTTTCTTTTAGCCTGTAAGAAAATTCTCGAAGAAAAAGAATTTTCACAATCAGTTTCAGTTTCCAGAATTATCTAGACTTGAAAGATGATTGAATAAATTCCAAAAAACAAAGATAATTTCATGCAGTTATTCACCAACAAGAACATGTGAAAACAAATCAAGTAATTTCTTTCAACAATGTAAAGAGCTACATGGATAAATCTTCTTAGTGAAATTGTCAAGTGCAAAAAAAACAACAAAAAAACATTGCAAGTGACTTCAAGTAGAAATAGATTGGATCCAAAACGTTCAGCAGCAGACATGTTTATTGAGCCCTCTGGTTTTTACTCTTTGGATTCACAGTCGGGTAAAATTTAAGCTCTCACACACACATGCAAACACACACACACATTTTCAAGTAAAGTTGAAATATGAATTACATTCTTAAGTATGTGACTCTCCAATACGAGGTGAAACTTCCATAACTAGAGGGAGAATAAAATATCACATAGTTTATTAATGTCTTTTTTTTCTTTTTTACAAATACAAATCTGAAAAGTGTGGCATGCATTTCTATTCAGCCCGATGAATACTGATACCTTAAAATGAAATTCCAGCGCAATTCACTCCTAAAGCCCCTTTATGATATTATTGTATAGCAGTAAATAGAATGCCACCTGCCTGGTCAACCGCAAGAACTCGGACTGAAGTTTGGAGGAATTGGGTTTCAATCCCTACAGCGGCGCTCCAGAGAACCAATACTGAGGTGGCAGAAAGCAGAGGAACTAGGTCACCAGTTTGTCTCGACTGTGATCGCACTCATCGTAACTTCCTGTTTCCAAAATCTGTGGATCACTTCAGCTGTTCCTGTTCCGCCCAGTCTTGCCATCCACCGGGATAATGCTGAACACTGCAATGAAAGAGAAAAAAAAAAAAAAAAAACCTTGAAGAAAATCACTCAAGTCCTTCTCAATGTTCACTGCTGATTAAAATAGGTTTCAGTTCAGTAACGAAAAAAATGAATTCTCAAGTAGTCTCTTTTTTGAAAGGCAATTTTATTACTTCGGGGTCCATTTTATTTGGAGTTGTATTTATTTAGTTTGAATATTTAAAATGTCTTCCAGTTAAATGTTTTATTATCATTTATTGCGATAATTTCAACAATTTATCGTCCAGCAAAATGTGTTATCGTGACAAGCCTAACTGCACACATCTACTTTACTTTGATGGCATGTCCTCTACCATTTCTCATAGTGGGAAGAGCAGAAGAAAAATGGTGGCTTTGTTACATATTTATAATTCTGATATGACAAGTAGGTGAAAACCCTGTGACACTTTGAGCAAGTTAAATTTTTATTTCTTTATTTCCAGTGTGAAGTTATTCTACAATAAAAATAAACTTAAGGTTTTTTCCTGTTACTAAGTGTTGTGGCTCCACTTTTTTGCTCTACTTTTTGGCTTGACTTGTAACAGATGTGTGGCATCTTTCCAAAGAACACTACATAATAAAGCTTTGTGCAACAACAGGGTATAAACTGAAACCGCAATAAAACACAGTCTCACATGACACTGCAAGGCAGCCTTTGGTCAGATAGGGAAAAAGATTAACGTCAGGGAGATCTGGAGTATCACTGGACACCACATTTTCAGATTTTTACTTCTAAACCAAATTTAAAATCACGTTTTCTTTAAAAATACAACTTTATTTTTTCTTCAAGTTTGTAGTTGTGACACAGGTTAAAAAAAAAGTTGGATGAGTATGATTTTTTTTTTTTTTTTTGCATTGCACTTTTAAATTTGGAGGTTTCAAAACAATCACTTACTCTGTAAAACCCAGCGAAGCAGCTGTGTTGAGGGCAGTCTTGCTTCTGACCCCGGCCAGACACATGAACACGATGTTATCCTTCTGCCTGGGCATTTCACCGTCATACTTTTCTTTGAACTCCTCCGGAGCAAGCTGGAGGGCAGTGTTCACCTGTCCCACTGGGCAGTGAAGGCAGCGCAAAGAGGTCAAGAGAAAGAGAAAGCGCCCTTAGATAAAAATAACACATTTATGAAGCTAGCTGCTTTTAAAGAACATTCACTTAAAGTATTTTCAGATTTTAAACCATTAATACCATATAATGACGATTAAATTAGCTTTTTCAACTCACGTGGGACGTTGACAGATCCGGGGATGAAGCCGTACTCTCGGAGCTCCCAGGGTTCCCGGACATCCACAAGTACAGTTTTGCCAACAGCCAGGAGCTGCTTCAGCTGCGCATAACTCACATCTGTGTTCCGTCCTTCAGAGCTGAATCTGCGGAGATGGAACTCTGTTTCTGAAAGCCAAACAAACAAGGGGGGATATAAGGATTATGCATGGGCCTCGTTGCAAAACAAGGAGTCGTTTAGTGTTAAACTCACTTTTGCAGCCCCGGTAAGTGTCGACAAAGAAGGACACAGCTAGTCGTCCCACAGGGGAAGAAGACCCACGAGGAACGGGGAGTCTCGAGAGAATACCGGTTAACCTCCAGCATCTTCTAAGCGCCATAATAACCAGTGTGTGAACAGAAAACCACGTTACCGCACAAAACTTAACACCAGAATGATTCTTCTGCGCTTGCGCAGTTGTGCAGATCATTTAAAGGACAAACTTATGTAAATAATATCACCTGTGAATATTTAGTAATTCATTTATTTATTTATAAGCACATATTTAGGACAAAACCCCATTGAAAGTTTTAGAAAGAACATTTAACGCTGGTTAATTCTGAAAGAAACGTTTTCCACTTTACGCGAATCCTTCATTTGATCAAGCTGCGCTCCCGTAGTTGCGTCACATGTTGACTTCTGCGGCTAAAGTTGGAGCTACCGATAGCTTAGCAACATCTTCTGGTGAAAGGGAAACCGACAGAGAGAAAAACACCGAGTCTGTGGCTTGTTCGCTCGTCGCTAGCGTAAACATTTGGGAGGTCGTAAAGTGAAAGTATTGTTCTGTGTGAAAGTTACGTGTTAGTTGCTGTATTTGTTGCGACATGCTAATCCAGCTAGCTGGTTAGCTAGCCAGGAAGAGTTGAGACATAACTGTTGGCTTCAGCCAACATAGACAGCAAAGGAGCGAGCTGAGAGAGGTAAGTTTAAACTGCTTTCTTCGCGTCTGGTCATGAAAGGAGGGGTTGTGCTTGAGGTGTAGGTTGATCATGTTAACGATGGGAAGTTTTTAATGCATAAATCCGAACTGTCCACACTGTGTAGGCCTCTTATCTGTGTTCTTGCTCATTGTAGAGTAGGTATTCACTGTGAATTCACTCTCTTTGTTCACCCATCCTTTTTTTTTTTACTCTAACGTATTCATTACTTGTTCAGATAGGATAGAATCATTAGATTTTACATAAATATATAAAAACTCTAAATATCACGAGCGAATATTGGATAAATCATTTAAGGAAAGATCTCTTGGATTCCTGTGGCAACATGAGAATATGGTTGAAGTACTTGCTTTTAGCAACACCAGAAAAAGCAGTGAAGGTTTTTGCTGTATTAATTCATTCATCTGAATTGTCCATTACTTGTTTATCTGTCTGTCACCCATCTATCCCTCTCTACAATACATTTGCCCAACATCCATATGTACATCTGTTTGTCTATCCATTCATTCATTTCCCGAGACTGTTTTTGTTTCATATCCCACATTTTAAACCTTATTACTGTAAAAAAAAAATTTAATGACTAGAAACATTTTTATGCTTTTAAATGTAAAGTATTACAGAAATATAAATGTGGAGAAATTTAAAATTTCATCATGGAAACTTGTTTAACTTCCCACAACTTCATGATTAACATGGATATCTTCATCCGAAGTTTGGCGTTTATTCAACTTTATGTTGAATAAACAATGTGTTTTTATTAATTTTGGCTCAGTATCAGATAATAACTTTTGCTTTCACGCTCCAGTTTTTTCTTTGGCCTGGTTTTGGAGGCAGAGGAAGGGTGGGCTTAGACTAAATTATTTGCATTTGATCCATAAACTGTTGAAACAGCCTCATGTAGGAATCATTGTCAGGAGGATAACTTGTCAAAGCAATGATTCTCTGTTTTTCATATAAGAAAATGGGCTATGTCACACTTTCATAATTTTCTCTCCCCGATGTCTCATCGATGTGTTATCACGATTGTCTGTGGACTTTTGATTCTCTTAGTGGAGCATGTTGATAACAAATTAAAGAACACATATCCAAATAGTTGTCCAATATTCACAAATTCTTAGACAGTTGACAAGAAATGGATGTCCCAGCAAATTCATCCCAAATTCCAGAGAAGTGACAAAAACCCAGAGCTCCTTCTCTGACTTTAAGGTCCTCAATGAATGCGTTAAATATTAAAGTTAACCTTGGTGCAATAAGAAAAAGACTAAACAAACTTTAGATGTAGCAGAACCAAGGTGCTTTGAAGTTAAAGGTGAAATCTCTTTCCAGTTTGTTCTTAAATGGACAGGATAACTCACTATAAGACTGGTTTACATAATAGTGGAGCGCTTCAAAACACAGCTGGAAGTCTGTGATCGACTGAAAAAGACATGGATCAACGTGCTGCAATGGTCCAGTCAAAGTCTAACTTACAACCTGATTGAAATGCTGTGGTAGGAGCTTAATGGAGCTCGCGGAATGAACTGAAGCAACAATGTGTAAGGAAGTCTGTTTCAACATTTCTCCATATTTATGATGAAGAATAATAATGACCATCTACTGAAACATGAAGATTATTTAGCTCCCTAAATCATCATATTGGACTGTTCTGACTTATGAGCGGTTTGGGATTTTGGTTTTAAAGTTTTGTTGAGACATTTTTGCTCTTTTTAGCAAAAAACACCCAAACAAAAAAAAAAAAACTAAACGAGCTCATTTTCTATCTGCACTTTCAGAGCTCCAGATGCGGCTAAAGGATCCCTTTTCTTTGAAAGCCGCCGACATGACAAAGCGGACTAATAAACCACGGAAACCTCGAGATGAGGAGTCATCAGATGAAGTCAGTGGTAAGTCGAAAGCACTCAGCTTAAAACCAAACCTGCCATTAATGATCAGGTTTGGTTTTAAGTGCTAACAAAATATTAACGTTTTCTGAACAGACAGTAAAGTAGACAGAAATCTGAAATGTTAGTTTTCTTTTTGCTGTTGCTCCACTTTTGAAACTGCTACTACTTTCTATGTTTTTCTGGAGCTAAAACGATTAATTGCATCAGGAGTGATTAATCGGTTATTGAAATAATCATCAACTAATTTAGTAATCGATTAATCAATAACTGGAGTATACAGCCTCAAAAAAACCGGCAGATTTTAGAAAGAACTCACAGCAATAATTGAGCCAAAATTGTACAAAAAAATAATAAATTTAGCATTTAATATGAAAAATGCATTCTTTGTTTGTAACTATGTTTTACCAAGTGGCAAATTTTAGTTCTGTAAATTATTCAATAATCAATAAAAATAATTGATTTACTGAAACAATTGTTAGTTGCAGCCTTAATTTTATCTAACTTTATTTTAGTTATGATCTGTTAAAGAATTTTTTTCCAACTCCATAATTTGAATAAACATAACTCTAATTTGCATTTAGACTTGCATTCGTAGATGTTTTAGAGTTTTCTTTTCTTTTCTGTTGACTTATTTTGAAACCAAAATTGATTTTGACTTAAACCTTGACTCTTGTAAATGTGTTTATAACAGCTTTTAAAGGCCATGGTTTAAATTATCACTCCCATTTTGTTACTATTCTAAAATGTTGTTTTTAAGTTTCAGGCTGTTATTTGCTAAAACCATTCATTAACTGGTATTTCAAGCTTTTAGGAGCACTCTGTAAATTTAATCACTTTTTTTAAAAACCAAAGACCCTGAATAAGTGGTCCCCCTTTAAAAGTCCACGTATAGAAAACCTTTAACCGATTGAATGTTGTTTGTCAACCAGGGTTGACATGCCAACATGTTAACAAAGCAGTGGACCTGAGCTCGGTGAAGAAGTCGGTCCTGTCAAGCGTGTGGTTGGTCTGCTCCGAGTGTCTGAGGGAGAGGACGATGATCGACGGTGAGCCGGCAGCGTCCCACGACATCCTGGTCTGCCTCAAGTGTGGCTTTCAGGTCTGATTTGCTTCTCTTACATAAAACATTGTAAAAACATGATCAAGAACATTGTCTTTTTTTTTAATCTTGCAGTATGTTTGAAGTTGGCCATTTATTTACTGCTTATTTTGACTAAAAAAAAACAATTTTTTTTTATTAAGGCTTTAACTAACAATTATTTTAGTAATTGGATGTGAATATAAGCACATGGTCTGTTTTTAAGCTTTTTATTTGTGAATAATAATAATAATAATAATAATAAAAACATATCTCTTCCTTCCATTTCCCAAATCTGCATTACATTTTTGTCAGCCTGTCATGTTAAATCCCTTTAAAATACACAGTAGTTTGAGGTTGTAATGTGAGAAAATGCACATACAAGTCTAATTTTTTTCAATCAGTAGAATTATATTTTAAACTTAAGCTGTCTCAATGAACTGTCTTACAGGGCTGTAACCAATCAGGAATCCAGCATGCCGTCAAGCATCACCAGACTTTTCATCCAGAGTCGCACTGTATCACGATCAGCCTGAACACGTGGAAGGCCTGGTGAGAATCCCTGCAGGTTACCGTGACGAGGAAAAAGTAACGCTGCACAACCAAAGGGCTGATTTATGACAATGTGTTTGACTTGCATAGATACTAAACAAATTTAGACTATTTTTAGTCAAAATTCACATTAACAGCTTTTACCAAACAATTTTATTCCACTCATACCAAATTGTTGTTAAAATGATCAGCGCATCTGTTTTTGTCTGCTTAGCTGTGTATTTTTGTCATATTCTTAATGAAATATATTTTTTAATTGTCAACAGGTGCTTTGAATGTAACGAAGAGCTCTCTACACACTGCAACAAGAAGGCTTTGGCTCAGACTCTCGACTTTTTACAGAAGCATTCTGTCAAGGCGACATCAGGTAATACTTACAGTTTTATTCATGAAGCTCTTTAAAACAACACCGTTGGTTGGTGCTGCACATAAAACAAACATGTCTACATCCCCGAAGTTTACTGATGTTGAACGCAGCTGTTTGTCATTTGATGATCATCATAACACTGTATAGCTGCATGACTGTTTTAACATATTATGTTATTTAGTTTTGTCAACTTCCATAGTAAAGAAAAGCCAGTTTTAAACCAATTGTTGCAGTAGTCTGCTTGCCGTACAGCGGCTCCCCCTTGTGGCAGGAGCTGTCTCTTCCTCCTGCCAGTCACAAAGTAAGACAAACTGAATCAAAAACCCGTTCATATTTCATTCTTCATTCTGAATAATTATGTATTATGATTTTCTGTGTGTTAAAGGGAACAGCAGATACTAACATAGACTGGTAGCTGCACTAAACATTTGGACTAAGCTGTCCTTTTCACCTCATTCAGACCACCTGAGTCCTCCTCGCTCAGTCAGCCATATAACTCCTGATAATCTCATGTATTCACACACACACAGACACACACACACCTTCTGTTGCTGGCTCCTGGTGCCCCCCACTGCATTGTGTTGGCATGCAGGGAGCTCTACTAACAGACTGAATCTGATCAGGGTGGTGGGCAGCATCAGCACTTTTTGGTCTCAGTGTAGCCCACTGCCCGGTGCCACGTCGCCAGCGGCCAAGCGGCCAGTTGCCCAGGCCCAGTGAAGCTGGTCCCTTATGTCTACCATTGCAGGATTTATCTGCCCTCCTCTTACTCCCCATCCTACACCTCCCACCTCCCGCCCCCCCCACCTTGCGCATCGCATGACTGCACGTATTAAAGGAATTAAGCGCTCGAGTGACGCTTCCTGCCTGCGTTCCCTGAAGAACGCGAGCAGCTGCGTGGGGGTCCAGCTTCCCGCGCCGTCGTCCTTTGTCTCTCCGTCGCTATCTGTAGCCGTCCTTCCCGCGGAGCCGCTGCGCGTCTCACCACCTCTGGGCCTGTGCGCCGCACTAGTGGGAGCCAGGGTCCTCAACAAGTCAGAGCAACTGGATTTTAACAGCTGGAGCGCTCCAACTCTCAGCGGAGACACGCTGACGCACAGAAAGGGACAGAGGATGCTGAACCTTGAAAATATCAACTTCCATGTGAAAATATCGACTTTGCAAATGTGTTGTGAGCCCTGCTGAAAAAATTAGTTGTGTTCTTATTTGGAGATTTATTCTTTTATGCATGTCTGTATTTTAAAATGCCAAGTTTATTCTGATGGAGGAAAAACACCAGATCTTACCAATTATTTTTAGTTTAGTTTCTAGTGCAAATATATTAATACACTTGAAATAAGACAAAACTAACTTACAAGTAACTTTCCAGCAAGATATAGGAGCCTGTATTAAGTCAATAATTACTTAATATTGATGACAAAGTACAAGTTCCATTAGCAAATTATTTCACTTTTAACATGGGGAAAATATATAAGTGAAATAATCTAACAGTGGAACTAGTTCTTTTTTGTAAATCAATTATTAAGACTGACATATGAATACTTTTTTTTTTTTTTTTTTTTACTTTTTGTGTCATCGTGGCACAACAAACTAGATTGTGGAAGCGGACTAGTTGAAGAGAAATATCTTTGTTGATGTTTGAGGGCAACAAAAGACTTCTGGCTAATCACTCATCATTTCACAAACCTCCGGCACAGGAGGGGAGGCGTGTCAGCCTGGCCAGAGGCGCTGCACTAGAGTTCACATCAACCAAACTGAGATGTAGGATTAAAGTTGGACCAGAGTTCACATTTTTGGCTCTCATCAGAGTTGGATATCGCATTCACACCTCACCAAACAAACTTGACATTTTAGATAAACTACAGTTTGATTAAAGCGGACTAACAAGGGCTGGTGTGAACGCACTTTCAGTCTATTTTTAGATGCATGGTTCCTGCCAGTTTTCTGACCTCTTTATTTTGTTTTTTACAGCAATTACGTAGCATCAGTATCTACCAAAACGACACTTTTTGTTAGACCGGTTGATTCGCTCCAAACAAGTGGAGGGAAATGCATTTCATTAGCTTTTTTTTGCAATATTTTAAAAGTTCGCTCATATTTTGCGTGACAGTTCGATGGAAACATAGTTATTGTTTTCTTAAAGCATTATTGTATAATCTGATTAAACATAGTGGAGTTGCAACACACCACCTATTGCTAATCCACGATGACACCTGACAGAAATATCTTAAATTCAGAAAAATTGAGGGAAATGCGTTGGGGTCTTTCCTCATAAACCAGAACAAACCCGTTCTCTGGGGGAGCCATGTTGTGTGGCACCAGGTTCGCTGTTGACCCCCCCCCCCCGAAGTGGAAAGTGACCTCCTACACCTTTCTTCTACATCTTCCTCTTTTAACTGACCTTTCACCCTTTCCCTGCCTCTCAGTTCTCCCACACCGGTCTGCAGCTGGGTATAGAGGCGGCTCCTTCATTGTCGCAGCAAAGTAGATATTTGTTGCCTGGTAAGCAGCTTGTGAAATTGCATTTGATTGTGAAGGCCAGGTTTTTCTTAAGAAGCCACTGTTATGGTTTTTTTTTTTTTTTTTTCCTATAGACCTCAAGCACAAAAGGAGCCACAGCTCCGATTTTTTTTTCCTTCTTTCTCTTCCTTTTTTCAGAATCTATAATAATTTTGTACAACAACAGCTCCGGGAAGAAAGAAAGTCGATTAACTGTGCTCTCTCACCATCAAGGCCTTCAGCTCAAGTACCAGAGTCCCAGCAGAAATCGAATTGACCTCAGGGAGCCGGGCTCTGGAGTTGTAACACAGCTGGGGAGGCTTTGTTGAGTAAATTAAAATGTCGGCGCTGGAAGGACAGCGCTGCTTGTTTCGCATTGAAATCTGACAATCCCGCTTCTGTTTTCAAGCTGTTGCCTTTCTTCCTCAGATTGTGCTGCATTGATATGCGCGCCATTATGCTCTTTGTTTGTTCTTGTGTTTTCTGCTTTTACATCATACTGCAAAACTGGCAACATAATCAGATTATGAGCCGGTTTTGACGTTTGACCGCCAACGTTTGGGTGTGGAAGAAGTCTCGAAATGAGTTTTGGAATGAAAGCTTGATTGTTTCTTCTGAAATTAAAGTTAAAGTTCATCTGAAGCTGGCTTATTTGTGTGAGAACCAAGCATGTCTTTTTCCAGCATACACTGGCAACTTTTATCACGTTTCCTCTCCTCTGTTAGATAATTTCAGAAAGTAAAACTTCCACACAAAGAGACATTCTGTAACTGATGGGTACAGCGAGATCCCGCTGTAATTACACGTCAGTATTCACCTGCAGCAGAGGTGTTAAAGCGGAGGCCCTTGGGCCACTTGTAGCCCTCAAAATGTTTTAGAGTGGCCCAGAGTTGCGTTTCAAGAGCGCTACAGATAAGGTTTACACAGACTGCTGGCACAGTTTACTCAAAATCAAACCTGGTCACACATTCTTTAAACGTTGGTGAGAATAAACAAAAAGTGATTTCAGAGCAAGACAATTGAAAACAATGTCTTCAGAAATCAAAACAAGGAAGAATCTTTATGTTTCAGATCTATTACACATTGATCCCCAGAGGCGTCACTATGTTTTAAGAACAAGGGGGGCCTGAGCCCCCAAGGTGTGCGGGCAAGATTAACATTTCTGAAACGGCAACAAAAACGGAAAAGTTGCTTTAAAATGGTGTTCAGGGTAATAGAAACCTCTTCTACTACAAAATATGACTGGTAATGGTTAATCAATGAATTAAAATGATTTTCTAGTAAAGGTTGCCAAGGTAATTATCATTTTCTGGGCTCTACATTTACGATTGTTAGTTGCAAGGATTTCTAGCCGTATTTTCGAGCATGTTAAGATTATTGTGGTAACAAAATATGTCTTTTGCATTCCTTGTTCATATGTGTAATTTTATACTTCTATCATGTTTTAAATAAATACGTAAAATACATTTTACAGAAATTTCCCAGTATATTATAATATGAAATAATGGGAAACTGAGATTTCTCATCATATTTGATGAAAAAAAAAAAGAAAAAACTTTAAAAATAGACACAATTTATTTTTTTAAGCGGTCAATCAACGGACAACGATAAAGTATGGCATGACTGGTTTAAATTAATTTTTTTAGACTTAACACTGACAAAATTCTATGAATATAATCCAATCATCTGCAGGCATTTTAATTCTTGTTTAATTATAGTTGATTTTATTTACTCTGAATTTAATTGACGAAAACATGAAGTCATAACTTGCTTCATGTTATTAAAGGAACATGAAGCTTCCCGCTCTTTCCTGTCTTCTGATGTCAACATTTATGCGAGAGTGTCTTCCACCTCCAACCTGGACATTACACCATTGGTTATTTTTAAATCTTGTGCCGCTTTTCTGCATTTTCTGTTCTATTTTCACTCTTTTTTATTTAATTCAGCAACAATAATGTAAGTGATTTTTTTTTTTTCATAGTTTTTTAATTTTGAGTTTTGATGCAGTTCTTCTCTTGGTTTTTGTTTAGGGCAAAAAAAAGGTCATTAATGAAAACTCATGTACTAAATAACTACATGCTAAATAAAATGCATTTCAATTATTAGAAAATTTGTTGTCACCACATTTATGTTCATGCTGCTGCTATTTATTCCAGAAGCTTTAATGTCAAATAAATTAGGATAATGCTGTATGGAGTGTGTTTTGGCTGAAATGTTGATGTAAATGTGTAAAGTTTGTTCATGTTTTGAAAGGGTTTCATCTTGGTGGAAAAACAGTCGCATTGTTACATGATGAATTAGCGCTTTGGCTTTTTGTTTTGGGTAAGCCGCAGTTGAGTTTAGGCACCATGGCAACCGCTAAAGGCAAAGCATTCACGCACGTCTTCTTACCTGTTTTTATTTGTTTTGCAAACGGCCATCTTTAGGAACTGTCACTTCAGCTTTGCCGAGTCAGTGGCTAGATGCTCGTCCCCTGGTGGTGCTTTAATGAAAGTAATCAAGAGTGAGTCTCTATTTATTACCACCATTGCACAGAAAAGTAGGGCAGATAGTTGGTAGCGCAATCTGTTTGCTTGTGTGTGTGTGTACGTGTGCGTGTGTGCGCGTGTGTGTGTGTGTCTTTAAGGAGCATGTCAGTGGGCTCTCTTGGCCTCAGATGGCAAGAAAGCAAGCTTTTTATGCCCTGCAGTCACAACAAATTAGCGAATGAATAAGACATTTGGTGTTGCCTGGCCTTCCTCTTGAGTGCCTGCTCTGCATGAAGTGAGCTGGCCTTGGCCCTCCATGCTGCTGTGCTGAAAGTGAGCATGGACGCACAGATGAAGCCAACTGGCCGTGCGATCCGGCTGCCTCTCTATTCAGCTGTGAAGCTTGTGAAAAAAGAAAAAGGCTGTGAAGAGTCTGTTGGAAAATATCTCTTTGCAGAGACTTGTTGTTGTTTTAGATTAGATCAGTATAGTTTTTGACCTCAAGTGCCAGTTGGGGGTGTGGGGGGAGGATTGTGGCGAGTTTGGTACTAAAAGCAGTAGATGTTGGTAAATGGCACACTTGAATGTCAGTTGTTGTTTCACCGTAGAAAAGTTTAGCATCTACGGGTGTAAATGTAAGAACTGCAAGTAAGTGGTATTGTTTTCTGATTAATACCAATGTTTGCCCTTGTCCAACCCAGGACCTGGACGTGCACATGCAGGTAAACAGCGCGACAGGAGAACGTTTCTGTTTGACGTTCGCTCTTTGTGAAGCCCAATAGGGGTACAGCCAATCATCCCCAAGAAGGATTGTCATAAGATATCTCTGTAAACTCAGTGCAATCAGCTTGACTTTGCTATATAAGCTTCTAAATGTACAGAAACTGTACATTTAGAAGCAACTGGAGCTGTTGGTGCAAGTGCCTAGAGATAATATTCGACGTAATTTGACTCTAAGAATTATCTGAATCAACAGGAGGATCATCAGCATTGTTTCTACGGACTCTTGCTCCGTAGAAACAAACCAGTGACTTGGCTTTCCTTTACAGGAAAGCCAAGTCACTGGTTCATCTGTCCATCTCTGGGCTGGCATTGCAGGAGGTGTTGGTGTGCATGCATGCCTGTGGTCGAGCTCGGGCACCTCGGTGCTTCCCTCCTCCCCCGGGGGAAAGGCTCCACAGTGTCACTGCTGCCCACACTCGGTGGCTGAGCAAGGAGGGCCAGGTGGTGGTGCCGAGCGCGGCACACTCAAGCGTGGACGTGGCGCATGCTGACATTTGCCTTCGCCGACCGCTGCAGGGACAGGAAAGATCTGCTTTTCCATATGCTTGTGCTCGTTCCAGCCCTCCCCTCCGCCCCCCACAGTCTCAACCAGATGGCTCCCTGAACATTGTTTACCTTGGGTGACGGTCCCAGATGCAGAGTGTGTCCATCGGCATCTTCTTTCCGCCCGTTTGGCTTCCTCATTCCTCTTTTACTTCCAAGTGCTAGTCACAGTTTTTTCAACTCTTGCCGATTCCACTATCTGGCTCACGAACACTCGGACACTCACGCTTACTCTTGTCGTTTTGTTTTTTTTTTATCACTCGTTGACTCGTGCAAGAGCAGATTGTTTCACACCAACCTCAAAAGCACAGTTTTTCCCTTACCTCCCCATCTCCGTTTGTTTTCTTTGGATTCGTGTGTGTTGACATCTGGGAACTCCCTTATGGCAGCCTGACGAGGATAAAAAACAGGCCTACAGATGTTGCAGGCACAGAGGTCCAGATGCAATTAGCTCTCCTAGACAGAGTGCTTCGACAACTCGTCGTCCTGACAAGCTGAACCTCACCTTTACCGTCGTTCTCCCTAAAATTCCAGGACAAGCTGAAGGATGTGTACGCTGTTTCTCATCAACTTTTACCGAATGGTAGAAGGTAAAATTCACGCAGTCAAAGCATTTGTTGAAAACAAGACTGTAAACTTCCCAAAGAAGTCACCCTTTTCTTTATTTTTCTTGTTAAACACAATGAGACATTCACGTTGTGTGTGTGTTAGAGCGTTAAGTCCAAGGTTTACATTCCAACGACTTTAGAGTTGTGGCCCCCCTGTGGAGAAAAGCCTTCTTGGTAGTCGCTGTCACTGTAAGTTGAATAGATCTGCAATAAAGATGTTGTGCACAAGAAGTGAATACATGCAAAGGCAAGGCCATTTGGGCGCTGAAGTAAAGATGCAGGTTCTTACAAAAGGCTTGTGGTTCAATTGATTTTCTTTGGTTTAGTGGTTTAGGCGTGAACAGGTCGGGCTTGTGACCTGTGTTTATGCATCCTTTGTGAATCCCGGCATTCCTTTGAGATCTCCACAGCCTGTAGCGCTGAAGGCGCCAAGTCCCTGATGGAATCTGCGTTTTTGTGACTTTATTTTATTTATTTATTTTTAAATCATTATCATCTCTCTACAGAGTAATTTTAAGTTTTCTTTCTCAACACAAACCATTGAATACTTCAATGAAACGTTTCTGTCATTGTGAAACCAGAAGGAAGTTGTTTTTTTCTTTTAACATGAAATTCCTTCTCCAATGAAAAAGTTTTTAACATTATGTTAGATTTATTATTTTTTTCCCTTATCTTTTCATGTCATACAATAATGCGTGGATAGAATTGTGACCTTCTGTACTGCAGTAAAGATTGTTTGACCAAAAAGTTCAGAGGACAAGTTGTATCAAACCTCTCTTCTTTTGACTTGTGGAAATGTTTGGTCTTTGTTGTTGAGACACGTGTGATTGGTTTGGACTCTAGAGGCCAGTACTTACAAATAATAGGAATAGTCCCCAGTTCTCTAAAATGTGGCCAAGTTAAGTCAGAGCATCAGACCTAATAATTAGCATCAGGATTTGTCCAGTGGATGACAAAAGTACCTCCCTGAACTGCTTGACATTTGGAATTTTAAGTCATAGATGAGCAGAGATCTGCAGCAGGGAATTTGAGTAGTGAGTTGTTAAAAGATGTTTTTGAATACATTTTGAAAAGTGTGTTATGTGAATGGATGCAGTTAGTGTCTTTTTTGGGTGTTTTTCTTTCAACTTTATGAACTTTAATACTTGTTTTTTTTTTCTCGCAAGCTCGGTCAGATGGGTAATACAGAACATGCCAGTAGCAGGTTTAAGCTCTTTCACAGATTCTCATCGGGATTTGAGTCTGGACTTGCTATCAATACAAGCAAAATTTGGCTGTTTTTTGTTTGTTTTTGTTTTTTTACCAAAAAGGGTTTTTGTGTAAATTCTTTTGTCAAAAAAAGCCAAATTTAGTTGAACATGATTGATTTAATAAAGCAGTAAAGAGGGTCAAACATCCAAGGGGGTAAATACTTTTATAGGCTCTGTAGCTGCTAGTCACTAACTGGAACATTGGTACATCAGCGTCTGCTAACATGTGTTGGCGCTCCGTCAGTCAGATGTTAACCTTCCTGTTCTGCGATCGGCTCATGCAGCTGCAGGATCCGCTCCGGCTCGTCCCTCGCTCCGCGCACCGCTTCTCACTGACCATCTGTATCGTTGTTTCTGTCGAATGTTAGTTTTCAGCGGCGATCAGAAGTAACAGCTGGCTATGGAAGGGGAGTTCTCCTGCCCTAACCATCGCCCCGCTCCCCCTCCTCCTCACAAACCAGCAGAAACTTCAACAGCTGTCATCTGCCTTCTCCAAATGACCCAGCTCTCCTTCCAGCTGCCATTGCAGCACCCTGCTCCCAACACAGTTCTCATGTCAAGTCTGATCCACTTTCTTTTTTGTATATATTTTTTTCACAATCAAAGTTAGCGAGAAACTGATTATCATTTTCTATGTAACTTTAATCTCAAACCACACACTTTCGCATCTCTATCTCCAAATTTGATTCCAGTTTTGTTCATGACATAACAGTAATGGAAAATACTACAACTTTGTTTTATTCACAAAGCTTGAAACAAAAATGCTGAATGTTGTCTGATTAGCTTTACTAATAAGTTCCAGTTATACTGTGTGCATAATTAGGCGAGTGAGTATTTTGACCTCATCGTCATTTTTAGGCATATTTTCTCACTCCAAGCTGGTTAAACTTGAGTGTTTAATGGACTTAATCATGACAGGTGGTGTGTAATGAGGGACGGTGTGGCCTATTTACTTGATATTTACTCACCCAATATCAAGGTGTGTACAATTAATAGGCACCAAAAGTCTTGCAGAAAAACCCAGCTCTGTTTTAACCACCCAATTCTTACCATGTAATCTTACCGTTGTCCATGTTCTCGACT